TTTTTGGAATGCAGGGGGGAAAGGGGAGGTGTCCTGAGGTCATGCCCATGTCACGAGTTTGCTGATACAGTTTGCTGAGTTTGATTTAGTCACATTATCGCTGTTCTTTAGGTCCGTTGTACATCAAGCCTGAGGGCGTGATTAAATTACTGTCCTTTTCCTGTTTGGATATAATAGTTACATTCATTGGTGGTCACAAGACATCGTGGTTTCTATATGTTGAGAACGAACCTTCCAGTTTTGATACAAAGAAAGCTTTGTTGTCTCCTGATTGAATTAGTTTAGATCTCATGAGTAGATGAGACAAGACTGACAGGAAATCGCCCCCGAATATTGGAGTCATGTGCTGGGATGATTCCATGGCATATCAGTGTCTGTTATGGATAGAAATCCCTACACAGCCAACAAATGCACTGAGCAGCGCTGTCATTGGAAATCACCCTTAACAGATGAAAGGATAGTAAGACAAAGATATCGCTTTCCTAAGCGGACATTCAAACTAATGTTTTATTGTGAATATGATATTGAGCTGAAGAATGTATGCTGTATCAGATTCAGGCAATCACACTTGCTCAGTCCATCTCTCTCTCATAATACTCTACATAATACAGTGAGCTTTTAATACAGTAATACAATAAGTTTTCAATGAAGCAACTCAATGTTCCTTCGTTACTTGTTTCTTGTGTATTTACACACTCGTGCCGTCGAATTGTTGTATAAACGCTACTCGTGTGGTATTGCTCATTTATTATCAACTATAGTAAACATAATATTTTAATATATCGTATCAAGACATAATGTTTTAGTTATGTGTAAGGAATTTAACTCATTGAATTTTATAAGGGAATTAATTATTATTTTTAATTTCTAGCTCAGATTTTGAGAGGAATCGAATCTGAAGATTCGAAGTCAACCTGATTAGAACTGATTTCAAATTTGATAGTTTACACTTTATCAACTACTCGTCCAGCGAGACGTTAACGTCCGTGTATATTAACGATTCTGTTCATATTACTTCGTGGCCAACGACACATAAACAAAATGGTAATCTTATTAATTTTGAGCAAGGTAACAAGGATCTAGGCAGAGTTTTAACTTTAAAAATTTACGACACAAGACAATACTTCTTTATAAATGAAACAAAAATGTATTGGCTATTCTAGATTACATCAAACTAAGCTAAACACACACACACACACACACACACATACACACACATACAGTTCTGAAGAATGAAAGTTAACGGAGTTTGCATGAAGTTCTCAAAGTTCTAACTCGTTTTCCACGAGTTCTTTTAAATTCAACCTGAGAGAATCACAATTTAATACCTAAGATCAATTCAGCACCGATTTCAGCAGATAGGAGACTTCTGTTTGTTACTTGCGTTTGTGCTGAAAAGCTTCCTGATTGGCTGCTTGAGGGAATCCCAGGGCTGCGGATTGGCTGCTGACGCGGCGTCTGGATGACGTAGTTTCTGGGGATGCCTTCCTGATGACTGGGGTTTCCTGGTGACGCAGAGGCTCTGGTAGTTCTTCTGAAAGAGTCTGAGTTTGCAAGACTCTAGGCTTTTGAAGATCTCTGGCAGTCTCGAAGTTTCAACTGAAGTGTTTTGAGTTTGGAGTCTCGCTCGTGTGATGTTATGGCATGGGAGCACTTTGTCGCATGGTCACCAAGGCGAAAAGCCACAGGTCTAGAGAGAGAGAGAGCGAGCGACGAGCGAGCGAGCATCTGTTCAGGCATTGGGTTTTTAAGCAAGCCCGATTTGGTCCATCCCACGACGCAATCTTCCAATTGACTTGTTGCAAGGCGGAGCGTGCATACATTAACATGAGGCTTCAATTTATACACATCAAACAGAAAGCATAGAAAGGCACAAAACATATTATTTGGGAATATAGTTGCCCTTTTATACTTTTAATGATTGTCTTTTGAAATTGTCTGTTGTAAGTTTTATGTCACCTTTGTCTGACCGAAGAGAAAGAAAAGGGTGCGTCTCTTTGGAACGCAGGGAGAAAAGGGGAGGTGTCCTGAGGTCATGACCATGTCACGAGTGTAGATCTGCCATTCTTCTCGCTCGGACATGGAGCTATTAATCTGTCGCTTTCTGTTTATCGGATTATCAATTTATGCGTTAAACGGTCATGGGGTCCAGGAGTGTGCGTGTGTCGTTGGCTTTTTTCTTCTGATGATCTGTATGATAGAAACATGTTTGCTTGAAGCAGGTCCTCAACCACCATGGGTGATACATCCCCCCACTTCATAATTTTTCAGATTTTTTAAATCAATTCTTCAGTGACCTAACAGACTCAACTTTACAGTAAATTATCCATTAATTTGAGCTTAAGCTTAATATACAGTAGAAGATTAAAGTACTTAAAAAGTCCTTATTCATACATTTTGTAGAAAAAAATAATAGGACTTTCCAGCAGGTGCTTCCCAAAAGCAAGTGAAGGCTTCTAGATCCCTGGTGAAACATTTTGGGTCCTTATCCATAGCCAACAGAGCAAAATCTGAGAATGAAAAAAACATTCCATGTAGCTACAATACTAATAAAATGCTGCATCTAGCATTCACTGAAGATTTTACACTTTGCTCTACTAAATGCACCCTCAACATTCATGTCTTGAATTGACACTTTTTTTCACTACTAAATCACAACTAGAACAGCTATAACAACTCTTCAGCAGAATTAACTTAACATAAAATAGATAAGTCGGATAAGTTTGGGAAGTCGTGGCCTAATGGTTAGAGAGTCTGACTCGTAACCCAAAGGTTGCGGGTTCGAGTCTCGTACCGGCAGGGATTGTAGGTGGGGGGAGTGAATGTACAGCGCTCTCTCCCACCTTCAATACCACGACTGAGGTGCCCTTGAGCAAGGCACCGAACCCAACCCAACTGCTCCCCCGGCGCCGCAGCAGGCTGCCCACTGCTCCGGGTGTGTGTTCACGGTGTGTGTGTGCACTGCTGTGTGTGTGCACTTTGGATGGGTTAAATGCAGATAATTAAATGCACTAATTCCGAGTATGGGTCACCATACTTGGCCACATGTCACGTCACTTTCACATAAGTGCACAATCAACTAAAATAAAAACAGACTAACTCACTCTTGTGTCTTACCTTGCTTTGATAGATGAGGCTCTAAATGCACCTGCTTGATCAGTCAGGAAAGAAGTATCCACCAGGTGAGTGCTGAATCCATCATGTACACAGGGCATTCATACATATGACTTTTTAAATCTCTAGATAATATGTTAGTGTTCAGTACTTTATGTTTTTAGAAGAGGGCAGGTTGGTAGATGGTCATCAGATGGGGCCCAATGTAATAGGAAGTGGTTGCACTGGGGATTGAGGCAGGCACCCGGACTGACAAAGTGCCTCCTTCACACACACATATATACTCAAGGGTATGTTGCTGACACAACACTTGCAAAAATAAAAATAAAATATGCGTTATATTATATTACACAATAAAATGTGTAGAAGTATATAGCCCAATTGAAGAGGTCACACTTCATATTTAACACCCCAGGGATGAGATATCAAGTCTCTGACAAATAATTTTGAGTTCCTTTTTTTGGTACTGTGTCTTTCAAACTATGAGAAGTGCAATATTTAAATTTCTGTCTAGAGTGCGATTATGATAAACATCATGAAATTTGGTAAAATGTGAACATACTGATGCTTTTGACTCCTTTTGAATGAGCCCGGTCTCATGAAAATGCGTATAAGTAGTACACCAAATAAAAACGAAAACTCGTGGTTTTGATACTCAAAAATTGACTTTGGCGTGTATATGCTACGCACGTGTTTGGCGTGCATATAATACGCAGTTTTCGCGTGCATATGATGCGAAAATTGTTGGCGTGCAATGCATATGATACACAGTTTTCGCGTACATATGATACGCATCTACCCCACAACCCTAACCCTACCCATCGTGTAGCATATACACGCCAAAGTCCATTGTTGGGTATCAATACCACGAGTTTTTGTTTTTATTTGGCGTAGGCCTACTATTATACACACTTTCATGAGATCGGGTTATTTTGATATATATAATAAAAGTGTGTATAATAGTATTATTTGGCGTATATATATTCGTATGTTAAATGCAGTTTGGTTCATCGACCAACAAAAGAAAGTAGCTATAGATATATAATATTAAATGCAATACTTGACTGTGGAGTTTAAGGGTGGGGGGTTTGATGTGTGTGTGTTAGAGGAAACTGAGTTGCCATACCCTGACTGACAGCTCCTGGTCCTGTGGCAGAATAGGAGGAAATACCCTTGACAGATCAGCAAGCTGCAGCAGGGAAGGGGCCTGACCTCAACCCCACTACTTTAAGGAGCAAAAGAAAGTATTTTCTGTTCCATAGCATAATCTACGGTTGTCTCCTAATGCCTCTGAGAGTCCTGTCACCACATAGATGCTTTATTTATCAAAGTAAAGACATTCTGTTAACGTACTTAAAATGATTACAGGATAGCTATAGCGTGTCATACATATGTCATACGTAAAAAAAAAAAAACATTAAAAAAATATATTTTTACGGTCTGATAAACAACATAAACATTATGTACAGAACTCACTCAAGCTAAACAAATTTCAATAAGGACAATACATCGCTTTCTCAAGTGCTACATTGAATAATACTGCCGTTTTTGTCCACGGAATGAACTGTGTTTGATTAATGTACATTTGAACAACCTCACACAATGATTCTCCCAATAAAAGATGGAAAAGAAGTTCAGTGCATGGTCCAGATCCCCACAGACCCAGTGTGCTACATCTGTAGCTTATATTGTAGGTTCCATTTCCTCTTGAGTAATCCAACATGTCCTGAGATATGAATCCTTCTAGAATCTAGAGTCACAGCTCATAAGAGTGTCCTTTCACAGTCTGTTCTCTATAGCCACGTGGTTTTGGTGGAGTGTCTCTTTGAACAATGGAACCTGACCACAGGGGAGTGACAGTAGCGCGAAGCCCTACTATGATGAGCCTCCCTTGGGTTATGAACCCTTCTTGGGTCTGGGGGTGCTGGTAGTCAGGCCTCTTCAGCTGTAGCATCTATTCCAGCATAAGTGAAGTTCTCGAAGAGAGCCATGTTGACATAGACCTGGATGAAAGATGAGAATTAGAGGTTGGTTGATGGCTACGTGCAGATAGAACTGCTACGTTTCTGCTATTTCCATGAAATGCACACTTAGCATATTAGAATGATTTCTGAAGAATCATGTGACACTGAAGACTGGGGTAATGGCTGTTCAGCTTTGCCATCACAGGAATTAATTAAATTTTAAACTATATTAAAATAGAGAACAATATTACTGTTTTTATTGTATTTTTGATCAAATCAAACTGAGACCACCTAGCAACCACCTATAACCACATAGCAATTCCCCTGGTAAAAACCCACAAAAGCTCCGCATGGTAGTCTGAGTTTTACATATGCAAGCATCAGTCTGTTTTTTCCTTACCTTCCGTGCCTCTTGCATCCTATTGAGCTGGACAGATATTTGCGAAAATGGCGGTCGCTCATAGGGTCTGTCTCGCCAGCACTGCCTCATAAGTTCATACCTATATGGATTATTAATTATTAATACAACTGCAGTCAATCAATATGGAAAGTGACTACAAGAACGCATGATTGTCTGTGTTTACACTTCATCATCACAGTTCCTGGGCTGCTCCATTCTGTAGCCCTGAGGAAGCTTCTCATAGAGCTCAGCACAGGTCATCCCACAGTATGGAGTCCCACCTTGAGGAGAACAGATTCATAGCGTTCATCTGGCTGAAACATGTTTATAATGCAGTAGACAACAATTTATTCACATAGTTATGAACAAACTTACCTAAACTTACAATTTCCCACAGAAGAACTCCAAAAGACCACCTGAAAAACCAAGACAGATGGTTGAGTATTTTAATTTTTTTTTATTTATGTGATTGTGAAAGTTTTGTTGGCCTTTTGTTCATGTGATAAAATTTGGGGTCAGTAAAATTTTGAAAGAATATTTTTGAAAGTCTCTTATGCTCATCAAGGCTGCATTTATTTGATGAAAAATACATTAGGAACAGTAATATTGTAAAATATTATTGCAATTATTACAAACTCTTTTCAATTTTAATATATTTTAGTATTTAATACTTTTATAGATATGATGGCAATTCTCCAGTCTTCAATATCACATGATCTTTCAGAAAACATTCTAACAGACTGATTGGAGCTCAAGTAACATTTCTTACTATTATCATTGTTGAAAACAGGTAATATATATATTTTTTTGTGTAAACAGTGATACAATTGTTTTTCAGGATATTTTGATGGATAGTTCAACAGCATTTATTTGAAATATTTAAACTTAAAAAAATTACTGCATCCTTGCTGAAAAGTTTTTAATGCGTCCTAGCTGAAAAGTATTTAATTTATTTGAAAGAAAAAAAATGTATTGACCCCAAACGGTAGTGTAAATATTAGAGCAGTTATGGGGGATGAACTGCAGTTATGTTATGTTAAAGCTAACGCTAATGTTTGAGTGTGACAATCAAACTCAGGCTTTGTGGGAAATCAATAACGGGCTAATCTAATGGAGAAAACTATGTTTGTATGTCATGTTGGTCATGTTGTTTTCGAAATGTTCAGTACACAATGTTCTTGAGTGGGTAAAAATAGGTCGTTTTGACAGAGGCACTATGTGGTCTTGTGGAACATGCTACTCTAAATTTGAGCTTCCTGGTTTATGTTATCAGTTCCTTCCTGCTTATTTATCAGTTGTCCATTAAAAATTGAGAAGGATTAAGACATGTTGTTTTGGATTGAAACTTATGGATGCCATAGCACTTGGTGTTTTCAAATATTTATTTGAAAATTAATTCATTTATCTCACATTTTCTTAGAAAATAAAGTGTCAGGCAATAACATTTACATTTCAGGTAATAAGGCATGAGATGTTCAAAGGGATGTTCACATGTGCCAAAACCACAAAATACTTACACATCACTCTTTGTGGTGTAGACACTGTAGTTTAGTGACTCGATGGCCATCCATCGTACAGGCAGTCTTCCCTGAGACAGAGAGAGAGAGAGCAACATTCAACCAGTTTTATGAGTAATTTAGATACACTATGCACTCAACAGGCTGAGTAAGTAAAGGCAAGTGAGTTTTATCATCTCATATCATCTCACAGATATGGTCCTCACCATGGTCTTTTTCACGTACACCTCCTCGCCACGTGAGAGGCCAAAATCTGCGATTTTAGCAACTAGGTTATCTCCCACAAGTACATTTCTGGCTGCCAAATCTCTGTGGATGAACTGTTTACACAAACAAGATAACCAGGCACAGAATTAAGCCATATTTATTAATCATATTAATGTGGCATAAAATCTACAATGGCCTTATTAAACTGAAAAAATAAATGTAAAAATATTTAATTAAATAAAATAATTAATAATAATAATGAATAATTTAGAAAATTGTAGAAATTAAAGGGGTGGTTTCACTTTTTTAACATTAGTGTCTAATGTTGCTGTTTGAGCATAAACAATATCTGCAAAGTTACAAAGCTGAAAGTTCAATGCAAACGAAGATATCGTCTTTTAAAATTCTGGCAGTTTAATGCCTACAAAAATGGCTGGTAGGGACTATGTTGTTTACAATACAACCGGAGCACATGTCGCTGAGGAGAGGGGTGGGACGTTTAGACGCGCACTAGAGGTGGTTTAGCCAATCACAACACACTGGACTAGCTAACCAATCAGAGCCCATCACCTATTTCTGAGGGAGGGGCTTCATAAAAGAAGGAAA